AAAAAAGTCTAGATAAATTTATGCTTGATGGTCAAACATTTACTCGATTTCAATGACTAGCGTGACTGTTTTTTAAATATGTGCGTTTTTTATGCGTCTATCTGTAAATAGGACTTTCCAAGGTTCTGCCAGTATCCCTCATATATACCGAAATGAGTCTGCAGGACGCTTAACACGTGGTTGTCACTAGCTGTCGCTTCAATTACATACCTGTTAGCTAGTGTCGTTGAAATTCTTAGCCTCCAGCACGTGTGCATCTTTGCTCTCTCTGAGTTGCGACCGCTAAAGATAATCAGCAAAGAAGCAAAGTTCAATTGCTTCGAGTTCTCTCGACACAAGTGTCAAGCTTCGCGCAGTGTCAGCAGCCAAATTACAGGGAGCATGCTTTTTACAGAGAGGCTAGATGGTGAGTCGGCAGCGACGACAACTGTGGACTGCCAAAAGTGCGGTCCGCGCGGATTCCTGAAAACCCGGACTTGAGGCACTTGCTATTTTACTCTGACTATTTTAAGGTCTACGGACGTCAGCTTCGCATTTTGCACGGTTCCTTTGGATTTTATAGAGATATTTGATCATGCTTACCACGATGTACTTTACTCGAGGCTTCTACCCTCCGGAGTAGGAGGAAAGTTTGTGACTGTCATTTTCCCATACTTGGAGTTTCTCATACATTTAGGTAAGCTTTCGGTGCTGCCTCCAGCCCCACATGCGTGAAGAGTGGAAGTATTCAAGGTAGTGTGCCTGGCTCATTCCTTCGTCTGTTTGTCTTAGATAAACCAGAGTTATTTAGGATTGGTGGGCCTTTTGCGCTTCCCGACGACCCGAGAGTTGCTTAGAGATACTAACTTGCAGGTCGTTAGATCGTGCTGGAGCATTCGAAAAACGAAGCTGGACATTTTCTCAATAATGCTACACGTATAGGCTTCCACTTCCTTACCGCAACTGCTCTGTTGTGATTGTTGACGACGATCGTCGGCTTCACCTAAGCATTAACTGTCACGACACGAATGTGCCAGAATTTATTAACAGCCTGGGTTTGCCCAGACGAAATACTCCAAATGAAACCGAACGAATGTCCTGCAGGTCCTTCTGAACGCTTCATATCGGTCTGCACGAATCCTTGTCTCAGCGCAACAACACCTGTGTCGGGAGTTTAACTGCCTTCAAGCATTGTAAAGATGGTTTAAACGAGGAGGTTGTTAGGACGCTGAGGCCCTTCTGTTCTCTAACATTTGAAAGCGGTTGGCCACCAAGGAGGTGTCGGAAGGAATCACCCGCCTCGCTGGTCCTTCTTGTATGGAGCCCAAGGACCACAAATTTGCCAGGGTCAAACGTCAACGTGTATGTATGTTCACACCAGGCAGTGTATAGAACAGTAGTCACTTTAGGTAAAAGTATGCTGCAGAAAAGGTGGCTCGATCTCAGATAGTTTCAAGTGTAAATATGAGTGCCAGCAAATATGTAGAAGTAGCAAGTAACAACGATTAAAATTCCACGAAAACCTTTACTGAAATGTGCACGGTAGTGCTGGGACAGTAATCAATTGTTGACATAAGACAGCAAGGTGACGACGGGTGTACGTTATTGCCATGCGTAATTCCAAACTGATCGAGGTTTGTCTTAAAGGCCTCTGCAGATGTGAGCTTAGAGATATCCGCAAGCAGACTAGCCCACACTTTAATCACTCTGTTGGCAAAGAGGAATTTCTGTATGTTCAACGTCGCCCCAGTCGCATGTAATCTTAAGGGATGTCCTCCAAGATTCAGAGTAATTGTTAACACAATATAGCCTCCAGTTACAATGCACCAGTTCCGACCGTGCATGATGCGGAACTTTTGTATAGGGTCGCCTCGTATCTGTTTGTAACTCAAAGGATAGTGACTGTGTTTCAAAAGTCAGTGAACTCTACAGATTCACAAGTTTGAACTTCTTCGTGGATGTTAAATTCCTTAACGGTCCAGGATCCCCCGGATTGAATGGAGAACTCCAGTTATGGCTGAGAAAGAATTTAACAAAACAGTCAACTTCAAAGAAAGGGAAAAATCGATTGGCAACGTGTTGGGTTGACGTCTTAGACTTGTCTATATTTGATCAGTGAAACGACGGTTAAGTGAAGTCGTGATATGCACACATGTATCCACTTCTCGTAGCGGTATGCCGTTTAGACGATGCGCCTTGCTGTTCAAAGATAGGTTTTTTAACTCTAAAAAGTTGGCTTTACACATACTGAACTTTTAAAGCTATTTCTTAGACCATTTCTTAAGTCGGATCATGCTCGCCTGAAAGCGCATTTCGTTGTCTTCATTCAGGAGGTTAATCCTCGGGACGCGGCGTAATTTTGAGAAAGACCTACTAAATCGAGCCGCAGAAAATCCGAAGTTGTTCTATGGTTACATAAGAAGAAGCACACGAAACAGAGACCCAATCCCGTTATTGAAAACTACCCTGCCAGCACCAGCCGCACTTGGCCGCACTTGGCCGAGGCAAATATGGTGTGGCCAAGTGCGGCTATGCTGCGGCCAGGTGTGGCCAAATGGTGTGGCTGTGCGCTGGCCATCAACGCATTGGCCGCACTTGGCCGCACCTTGGAAAAAATTTTGCGCGCGGGCTTTTTCTCGTTTTTTCCATTCATCGCGGTCTCGATTTTTTGGCCGTAAACGCCAACCATGACGAACGGTCGCCTAACGTAAAACCCCGAAA